TCCCTACTGGTTCCCATTGCAGCCCCACCTCAGGATCTTGAAGACTGGGTGGGTCAAGCCAGAACTCTGGTCCAGAGGAAGATGCTCAAACTAGATGCAGGCATGAGATTGGCCACTCCTGACATACTTCTTGCATATACTCCCTCCATCCCTGGCACCCACTCAGGAGCACTAAACACTCAGAAGGACCCCTTTCAGCTGATGCCTGTGACCAGGGCTGCCTGACATGGGCAAGAGCTAAAATGCTTCCTGGAATTAGGGGTAGAAATCAGATGTCTTGAGTACTCATATTTAAATTAAATAAACAATCATCTGCTTTTTCTAGAACTCCAAAACAGGTCCAGAGCCCTGCTTCCACCCCACCCTTTTGGCTAATCCCTAGCAGTCACAGGTGCCCTCAGTCCTATTTGACCTCAAGAAGGTCAGCCACAGATCTTGACTTTACAGAAAGCTGTGGGGAACCTAGTCACAACATGCAGCTACTGCCCGGGCCCCAGGAGGGCACAGGCCCCACTCACTGGCACCTGGGGAAGTCCTCGGGGCTGAAACCCTGGGATCAGCAGAAAAAACATGGTAGAAAATAACACAACCCCAAGAGGAAACAGCCCCTTGGAGGCAGGCCAGAGAGAAAGGTAGCACTTTAAGGCTTTTGGCTGGTAATGCCCAAATTGGACTTGGGAGGAAGGCCCCCAGATATACTAGCTGCAATGCAGATTCCTGGCCCTGGATCACCTCCTGACTCATTTTTATTTGAGGATGAGTTCTGAGAATCAGCATTTTTGGCAATCCTCACAAGTTCTTAGCATAGTTTTAGACCCCTGCCCCAGAGAAAACCTGTGTTCTGCTACCAATCCCACTGCCCCTACTGCCTCTGGAAGACCAGGCTTACTGGTCAGCCATCTGTAGTGTCTGTAGGGCAAAGCCCAGGCCCTCTCTCAGCCCACCCAGGCCTGGCCTCAGCCTCAACCCCCTAACATGACCTGGAGCAGCTCTACCTTCTTTGAACATTAACATCCTCTGCTACTTGACTTTTGGAGGTGTTGGGAGAGGAGAGTATGGTGGAGAGTATGGTGGAGAGTATGGTAGAGAATATGGTAGAGAAAGTGGTCTGAAAGTTATAATTCCTTCTAAGTATAGTCCCTAAATCCTGGAGCCAAAGAAATAGCAGGGTCAACAGTGTCCAGGCCCTCAGATTCTACCTCCAGTGCTCTAGGGTGAAGGAGAGAAATGGACAAAATACCATTTCATCACTTGATGTGTAAATACAAACTGTAATACAATGGGATGTTTCCCCCTACTGCACTGTACACCTCTAATGCATATCTATGTTCTCAGCAAGAACATGGTACCTGACAAAGAAGAAAATTATTCAGTAAACATCGGAGGGAAGATGGGAGGGGCTGAGTGTTGGGATCAAGGAGAGTATCAAGTCAAGACTGAAAGTCAAGACCCAAGAGGCTAATGGGGACAGAGTCTTACCTGGTGCCTCTGATAAGCTGAAAACATTTTTTCAAAGTCCTCTAGGTCCAGAATCCGAAATACCTGCATGTCATCAATCTCATTCCATACGGTACCAGGGACACGTTCCTAAGATTCAGAGCAGGCAGAAACCCCCATGACTGACTCGTTTCCTCCACTGTGAGGATTTCCAGTGCCTCCCTAACCCCACCTGTATCGCAGCTGCACACTTTACAACTGCCAGGCTTCCAGGCCTTCAGAAGGTGGTTATTCCTCCCCATTGAGCCTCCACCTTTCCTCAGTACTCTGCCCCTGGGCAGAGGCCAGAGATAACCTCCTTTTCCTCTTTTCCATGTGGGGTCACATGTGAGCATGTTACAGAAATCAGCTGGAGTGACTGATGGGCAAATATAAGGGGGTATGAAACTCCTTCCAGAAAACAAAACAAAAGCAGTGCTCTCAGAGCACTTTTCACAGGGCCCTAAAGGTCAGGGTTGGCTGGAATCACTGGAAGCACTAGTGCCCACACATATTTGACTACATTTCCTGTATCTGAGATGGTCATTTTCTCTCCCAGGGGTCTTCCTTCCACTTTCCCAGATTCCCAGAAAGTGGACAAATGCCAAAGTCTGGGACATCCTGGCCACTACAGTGACTGCTGAAGCCAGCAATACTCTGCCACAATTTCCCGTTGGTCAGACCCAGGAAAGATTCCTCTTCCCTTATGACTGAGATGAGCCCAGGGGTTTACATTCCAAGGTCTCTCAACTTAGGCGTTGCACTACCTCTGTATAGAACCCTTGCATTGAACCCATACACCAGAGATCTAAAGAGAAGCTGTTGGCCTCTGGGGAGGAGCTGTTAGTCAAGCCAAGGATGCCCCCAGTGGATCTGTAACACTCTGATAATGGCTTCAGAGGACAGAGAGTAGAGCCCTTGTTTTCAGAGATGCTCTACCCTTCTCCTCCCAGGAACCCGGACCTCATCTATAGCTTTGCCATCTTTTAAAATAGAATCTCCCCACCTACCTCTGACGGCAAGGCAGCTAATGCCTCCTCCTCCCTCCATCTCCCCCTCAGCAAGGCTTGGAGAGAGAAACATACCTTTCACTCACTTTTATTTTCTTAAACTCTGGAGAAGGGGAGGCTAGGCCAGAGCAGGGGGATGGGGACATTCCTGTGGCCTTCCTAAGGCCAGGGACCCTCTTGTGGAATGCCGGGCTGGGAAGCTCAGAGCGGCAAGGGATATAGGCAACTGGCCAAATCCAACACAGACACATTCTTTTCATGGCAGTAACAACCACTGTGTGTGTGTGTGTGTGTTTGTGTGTGTGTATACACAGGAGTGTGCGTGGGGTAGGCGAAGAAGGCTAGGGAGAGGAGCCAGGCTCCTGTAATGGAGTACATAGGAGGCAGAGAGAAGATGGTAGAGGAATTGAACTGGGAAAAGCAGGGAGGGGAAACTTCTGATTTAGTCCCCATCTAAATTTAGGCCTGGGGTGGAGGTAGGCACAGTGAGAAGGCCTACATGTGTAAAGCTTCCCACTGCTCTTTATTCCTGGTGAGGCCAGAATGAGGAAAAAAAGGACTGGAGTGGGAGAGTGGGATGTTCAACACCAGGAAGAGACAACAGACTGAGCATCCAGCTTCTCCTTCACTTCTTTCCAAACACTCTCCCCATATTACCAGAAAAACTTACTTGGGGTTCTTCATGAAAGTGTAGCTTAGATCTGGAGCCAGACAGAGGTATGTCTGTTCCTAATATTTTCCAAGTCACCTTGATGTGTGCACCATGTATAAGAATTCTTGAATTTAATTTTTACATCACCCCGGCTAAGACCTCATCACCTCCAATCTTGCTTCCTGGAGTTTTTGCCCCTCTAGAGACATCCTGTAAGTGCCAGGGAACCTTTCTCAATAACATATTTCATTATGTTTTTCTCATAGTGCATCTGGGCTCAGACAGACTGAGCTGGCTTGTTCTCTAAGTCTTGCCACTATGTGGGACTGCTGGCAAATGGAGGGGTATGATCCTTTTCTCATGGCACATAAAAGGAAAGTGAATCTCAATAGTGCTTACTTACTGAGTTAAAGTGAGGATTAAGCGAGATAACGTACTTAAATCACACATGGTAGTGCTACTAACAATAACTAATCTATTTTATTATTATTGTTATTATCATTAAGACCTTCTATGTGTCAGTCAGTATTCTAGGAACTTTATATGTATTAAAACAACCTTTACTATGGACATCATAATCACCCCCATTTTACAGATCAAGAACCTAAGGCCCAAATGATGAAATTGATCTCTAATCGCACAACTAAAATCTTGGGACTGGGATAACAGGTTCATAAATATTACTTGATACCCATCCACTCCACTCCTGCTGAGAAATGTCTGCAACTCTTAGAAATGCTCTCCAATGTCTACTCTATCAAACCGGTACTTTGCAGTCTAGAAATGAAGCCCTGTCTTCCTCTGGGTCCCTGAGGAATTCATGGAGATTTTATTATTACTGGACTCCAGAGAAAATCCAAAGCACAAAGCTCTATATGATAAAAATATTGCAAAAAATATTAATTGCCTTGTCTGACTTCCTTAACTGTTGAGGTGCCTGATCAACTTTTCATTACATTTTTAAAACCATAAATTTTAAGTCGTAAGTATGAGAAACAAAACAGTATATCCTTCTTACCATAATTTAAAAATATGATCATGAACAGTGAATAGTTCCACACAGTCTATGGCCTTTGGTTCTGCAGAGCTGTTTGCCTGCTCATATGCAGTTGGCCTTTCTGGCTTGCCTCGTGACCATGGAGAAGCACCCATCCACAGGGCACAACTGTGCAATGCAGCTGTCACAGATTTCAATAGTGTTGCTTCAAAATGCTGCTAACAGGTGGCCCTAAAATCTTAATAACTCAGATTGGAGATAGTATCACAGGCCCAGCAGACTATGAATGGGCTGTATTCATGGTTTCTTTTTCTATCTAGATTATAAAACTAGAGGTAGAAGGAATCTTAGATATCATCTCACAAATCACAAAATGAGTGATTTCACCGGTCACACAGTTAGTTAGAGCCAAATCTGGTTTGGTTAGAGGTTGGAAAGTCTCCTTCAGTCCATCCACAGGATCTCTAAGTGTTTCTTTGAACATACTTCTTGATTTGCCAGACCCAAAGCTCTTACAGGGCAACATTGGATCTCACCTTTTAATATTTTCCGCTACAGCCCCCAGTAAAAAGCTTTACAAAAAGCAGACCTCAGACTAACTGGCTAGCTGGTCTACCGTTAGAAAGCATCTAAAAAATAACTGACCATCTATTAGCAATCCCACATCTCTTCCCACTTGAGTTTCCATATGAGCTCATTTAAACTCCAATAGCACAGTTATTCCCCAAGGGTTAGTCCAGCAGGCCTATATGACAAGGTCAGAGGGTATCCATTAGCCCAGCTCTAAACTGATGCCTGCATGACTGTTGTTGAAGTGTGCGTGTGGATCAGACCAGTTTGGACTAAGGTACCATATATGTGTTCATTTCAGGGACAAAGCCTCTGGTCCTCTTAATAGGATACAGCATAGAACCAGAAGTAGGGCTTGGCTCAGGCTAGAACTGACCTTCAATTACTAGGGGTCTGATGTGACCTAGAGCATCTCTGCTCTATGCTCATGAAAGTCCAACAGAGGATTCAACTCCGCACATGGGCCTGGGACTGGTGATTATTAGTGGATAATATTCATGAGGGCTTCTCACTGCTGAGTCATCTAGAAAAGTAGCCAGTGTGTACACCTTTTCCCTGGGAAGATGCCCAAATGCCTATATCTTGACATCAAACTCTTTATTGCAAGTGTACTGTCACAGCCCCCTGTAATGGCCTCACTGTTCCAGTCCTTTACACACATTGCCCTGAACTTTACCATCTCTAGACCTTGGCCCAAGATCTTTGCCTAGATCTTCTACCTTTTCCCTCAGATTGATTCTATCCTTAAAATTCCAGCCCAGCCCTTGTCGTGTCTAGGAGGCACCCATGCTTGGCACATCCTCTGGTATCTTTATTACTCCATTGGTCCGCAGCACACACAAATTCCATTTGTAGGTGGCTTGGGCAATGTAAGCACTACCACATGCCAAGCCATCTCCTCCCAGTGCAGATGTTCTTCCCAGTAGACAGTGAGCTGCCTGGTGTTAGCAACACCAGCTTCTCCATCCACACTGTCTACCCTTATCCCTGCCAAAGAAAGAACCCAGGAGAGAGATCTGCAAACAAGGAGCAGCCAATCCATGAGGCTGACTGATACTGCCTGTAGGATAATGGATGCACTGACCTCATTCAGCTTGACCCAGTTGAAGGACTTCAGTGGGTGGGAAGGTTGAGGGACACACTTCTTCCTGAGTGGGATATCACTGCTGGGGAAGGGATCTGGAGGGAGGGGCAGGCCCATGCTGAAGCAAGGTGGGGCTCCAGGGGGAGTGGGAGGCCCACCGGGTGGGAGGGGTGGCGGTGGCGGTGGGGGGCAGCAGGCGAATGGTAGAGGGGGTGCGGGTGGAGGCAGGTCATTGGTTGTCATCGAGGAAGACAAGGTGAGTGGGCCACCAGGGGGAGGTGGGGAAGAAACAAGTCCTGTCTGTGGGGAGACAGAAAAATCAAAAGAACAAAGCCATCAGCAATGATACCTTTCAGGGCCCCCACAATTTTCCTTTCCTTACTCTTATTCTCCATCTATACTAGATCCCCCCAATCCTGTTCTTACCTCCCACATACATTTAGCCCCCATTTGCTCTCTGTATCCCAAACATTCAACACACACATACACATATACAACCACAGACAGACACACACGTAAGTCAAACACCCATCATAGACAGTGGACAAAGTCATATTTATTACAATGCAACAGCAGTATTGACACATACAGTTGTGTAGGCTACTACCTGCACAAGGGCATCCAGCTGAGGGCGGGGGGGAGCCAAAATCCCACCTGCACTCTGCTTCCAAGGTGTGCTGCCTGGGACAGTGTCACCCAGAGGAAGGAGCATTATTTTTTCTAAGTAACACAAAAGTGCCACCCTTACAGCCTCAGGGGTCCCCTCTATGCTGGGCTGAGGTACCCGTCTCTCTTCTCCCTCATCCTGGGGTCTCTGGCCCCTCCCCGCACCTGTTCTTCCCACCACATCCTAAGGTCTTGACTCGACTATGTAAAAGAAGAGGAGGGCGCCTACGTACTGAGATTTCACTGAGTTGAGCTACCAGCTCAGCCACTTGTCCCCGAGCCTGGCGTAGCTCTTGGGATTCTCGGGCCAGCTTGTCCTTCATCTTGTTCAGCGTCCGCATCATTTCTTCCTTCTCCAACGTCTTTGTCTCACATTCTCGCTCCTTCCTCTCCAGCCTGCTCACCAGCTCCGTGTGTTCTGGAATGGGGTGGGACAGGATAGGAAATTGAGAGAAAGACTGTGAATATGTGTGCCTCCCCCTCCAAAGGGGTAGGTGGATCCTGAGCTGGGCAGGGGAGGAGGTGTGCAGAGCGAGAGGTAAGTTTAAGCAAAGATCCTCACCTTTCCGGAACTTCTCTGCCTGGTCTCGCCACTGTTTCACTTCATTCTCATTGATGAGCCTGGTGGGGATTAGAGAGAAGTATCTGTTGAATGCTGGCTCACAGCCTCCCAGGAGACACATCATCTTCCTATTCCCAATACTGGTGCCCTGATCTCCAATCTGTCCAGCCACATCAAAGAGGACAGGATTTTGACTCTCCAGATGTTTCTCCAGGTCCCCCTCCCTGCCCAGTTCTCATTATGTGTCTCTCCATGAACTGTGAAATCTGAAAGGACCCTTAGATTCCTTATAACCTAATCCCATTGTGAAAAGTTGAACCTCCCAAGACCAGAGATGGAGACAACAGCTAAATAATGGTAGAACTAGGACTAAATCTCAGGCTTCCCTTAGTTGTATAATGATTTTTATCATTTGTAAAAATAGATTTTTGCATTGACAGAGATTGAAATATTAGCCCTACTGTGGCCCAGGCTTCCTAAAGACCAGTGTGTAAGAGGAAGAGAAATCGCCTCCCTAACAACACAGAATGGGTGTGTTGAGGGTAAAGAGGGGATGGGTCTAATCATAGGAAGTCCTTATCCATGTCAAACTCTTGTAATGGGGGTTAAAAGTAAGCTTTCACCTGGACACCAAGGTATAAAAGAGGTGAAACCCTAAGGTGAGATCTCAATAATCATTTCTTTTTTAAATCTGAAAATGTGCAAGAGTTAGAGCCATGACCCCTACCTCCTCAACTAGATCAAGGATATAAAAAGGGGACAGAGCATGGAGGAGGAAATAATTTGTGCAGAGATTTCTTTAGAAAGAGTTATTGCCATTGTCCCCAGGGGCACTACCTCCTTCACAACCATCCATTGAAATGGATTCTTTGGGCCAGAGAGTTTTGACCCATGTTCCTTGACTTTGGGTGGGAGGCATGGTAGACTGAGGTCTGACTCGGGGCCAGGTAGATCTAGAATATGAAGAAGCAGAAGCATTAAGCAGGAGAGGGCTGCTGAACTGGGACTTGCTGGCACTTCTAGAGTTTGAAGGTAGAAGAAATTGCATAAGGGTTTCCCATGGGCTAGTTGTAAGCATCGTTGAGGAAACTGGGCCGAAGCTATTTTAAGTCTTGTCTAAGAAGTCCACCTGGGAGAAAAATGGACACTGTAACAATGTAAATCTAGTGTATTGCATTGCCAGTGAATCAGGAGCTGATAAAAGGGATGGTACCAGCCAGCCCTAAAGAAAAAAAGACAACCCACCTTGCATGGCCAGTGACCAGGGTTTTGTAGTAAAAGGCACCCAGCAAGAAACTTCTGAAGACATCAAAATATATTTCATATCTTTACCCACATGCCAAGCCCAGAGAGCAGGAAGCCTGTTTACCAAGTTACTTGATCAAATAAGACTTTTCCCTTTCTCCTTCTGGCCCCCATGCTGCCACTGATGGGAGTAGAAACTGGTTAGATACTGGGAAAGGGGGATATAATGGGTTAGAAAAGAAACAGAACAGAGAAAGAAAGCCAGCCATCACACACACATATGTACGCATGCATGCACATACACCCTTCCCACTGTAGCCTCCTGGCCTCCTGGCACCAGTCCAGAGAGAGAGGTTTAAAGCTCAATCAGATCTAGAGTGTTGATTCACATCTGGGACTAGTCTTTCCAGTTGTGACTTAAAGTAATTATAGAACTTCCATTGCCGAAGAAGCAGCAAAAATTTCAGTGCACCTGTTAGGATTTTAACTACTTCAACCTCTGACTATTTGTGCAAATGAAAACAGTAGATGAATAGTTGAAAAATCATTTTCTGCTTAACTTTCGAACACAATACAATGAATTACCGAGAACCAATTTATCTCCTTAAGGGCAATTGGCTCAGATTTATACTGAAAGATAAGTAAAAGTTTAAAATTAAAAATCGAGGTCTGAATATTAATTGATGTGACTTGAAACTTAGTTCTCTGTGTTTCTCTATCCCCAGTACCAGTCAAGACAATAAGTCACAAGACTTTAGACTCTAATATCCTTGTCCAACATCCTCATAAGCAAATGGCCATGCTCCATGTCAGTGATCTGCAAACTTTCTCTAAAGGGCTAGATTAAATATTTTAGGTTCTATATACAATATAGTTTTTGTTGTATATTCCTGTGTTTGTTTTTAACAATTCTTTTAAAATGTAAGAACTATTTTTAGCTCATGGACCATACAAAAACAAGCTGAAGGACTAGAGTTAGCCCATAGGCCATAGTTTGCTGACTCCTCCTCTATGTGAATGTGTTTAAATTGTTTCTCTATCCCCTCCATGCAGTGGATCATTGAGAGCTGAGTAACCCCCCTATAAATCTGTGTTGTCCAATATAGTGTTTGCTAGCCATATGTCATATGACTATTTGAATTTAATTAAAAGAAAATAAAATGTAAAATTCAGTTCCTCAGTCACACTAGCCCCATGGAAAGCACTCAGTGGCCACTTTTGGACAGTGCAGACATGGAAAATTTCCATTATCTCAGAAAGTTCTTTTGGGCAATATTGTTCAATATTGACACCATTTAGAGGTGTCTGGCTTGAGAGAGGGAGCTGAGGTTTCACTGGTGAGCCACCAAGTAGGAGAGAGATGCGGAAGGAGGAGGAAGGCAGGTGAGGGCTGGCCACTGCTCACATGTTGACAATGTTCTTGACATTGAAGTTCTCCAAGGGAGCCAGGTCAGGGTCCATGCCCCTCTCATCCTGGAGGACAATCTGCTGGATGATGCGGTCCAGAAGCTGCCACTGCTGGAAGTAGCCACCGTTCCGCTTATCTGCGGGACAACAGTCATATCTTTACTGAGCCCTGGAGCCCCCTGGACCCTTGCCCTGGAGTCACTGCTTGGGCCCTTTCAGTGTTTACATGTGTCCCTCCCTCCCTCAGCAAGCTCCCAGTTTTGATGGCAGAGGCAATGCAGTTGCTGACGATGGAGAATCACAAATCTGGTCATTTCTTGATTATCTGTAAGTGACCCTCTATGAATGTATCAATGCTCTCAACATATTTCTCTACTCCCTGAAATGCTTCCTGGCTGCCTTTCTTCCCTGTTGGTACCTGAGGATTCTTTGCCTTTGGAATGCAAACTGCTTTTTACATTATCTTAAAAAAAAAAAAAAATCTCCTTTTAAAAAGTAAATCTGCTCCAAAATATTACATACTGAATAATGAAGTCTCCGGGGGAGAGGGGGAAGAATAGGATTTAGGATTATCTATGTTATTGTTCTAAAGAGAAAGATGAATGGAAACTAATTACAGGTATGCACCTAGAGGGAGTTAGGCTCGGTTGGAGAAGTGGTAATAAAATCCAGGAAGATTTTTTTGGTGAAGGTGACCCTGAACTAGAAGGCAAAAGCATTGAGTGCGGTGCTTGATCTCACAAGGCCCCATTGTCATCCCCTCTAATAATAGTCTGGCTGGACATAGACTTTCTTTTCCCATGATAGCCACAAGCTTCTTTTCATTAGTTCTTGATCTCCAATGCTTTGTCTCTATTGACCACCAAGGGAGTTCAACCAGCATGATCCTCAACTCGGAGTCAAACTATTAATGCCTACAGGGTGGGAGATCATGTCTGCAAGGCCCCATTCTGAAGCAAAATAGAGAGACCCATACACATTGCCCGTGAAACACAAAACACAGGAACTCATGGGAGCAGAAGTCAGTTTTCCCAGGGACTTCCCAGATCTTCCATGATGATCTGGACTGATTTTTGGAGAAGACCTGAGACCATCCTGGTCCAGGCCACTATCTCTCTTTTCTTTCCGCCATTCCACTGACAAAGGCATTGCAATATGGCATGGTTTTCTATTTACCTTTCACCCAGGAAAATACAGTAAAGCCAGTTCACTGGCTCAGAAGTAGAAGTAAAAGTTTCATCTAAAGCCTGACCCAAGAGAAACAAAAATTCTTTTATATGTAAAGACTTGCTCAGCCTCAAGTTTATCCACTGTAAACTGGAGATAATAATGCATATTCTATAAGTCATTTTGAGGTTTAGAGACACTGTACTAAAGGACCTTACATCATACCTGGCCCAGAGTTGGCACATAAGAAATTATGCCACCATCACCACCAGCACCACTATCACCACCACTAAAGAAAGTCTGTCTACATTGACCATGATAGTGGCCCAGACTAATTTTCCAAATATTTTGTTTTGTGAAGAGCTTAAATACCAAATGCTTAAAGCTCATTTCAAATTGTATGCTGGGGTGGCTATTCATAATTATGTGTGCTTTATACAGTCACTGTGCACACCTGGATCTTCAAAGTTTAGCATCTGCTCCCATAGATGCTGACATTTGGTATTTGCAAGGAGAGGCAGGGGCAAGGGTGTTAGGGTGAGAGCCAGCAAAGATTAGAGGGAGGAATTGATTTAAAAGAAAAAAAATCAGTCTGCTCATTCCACATCTGTGCTACTCCTCCAAACGCAAAACTTCTTTTGGAACTTCCCAAGAGGCCTAATCATTCTGTCAGGAACTGACAGCCAGAGCTGTTTGATTTCACAGTGATTGAGCTACTGCTGTTGGACTAAGATGTTGGTATCGCTCAGGGTCAAGTCTCCAGCAATTCCCCAAGGTGACAGTGGAAGTCCTGACCTCAAAGAAGGAGAGAAAAGCAGGGGCCTGAGTCCTGGCCTGGCCTCCCAGGGGCATGTGCAGAAGGTGACATGGTGAGACTCACCAACGCAGGTCCTGACGCTTTTTCTCAACCTGCCCTGGGCCAGGGCTTGGGCCAACAGACGGAAGTGGCAAGTGTGGGCTACTCACAGGGCATTTGTAGGCAGTGGTGCAGGACAGACAGCAGGCAGGGGTAGGCTTCAGTGTGCTTCAGCTTCTTGTGGATCAGCTCAAACATCTGGGAAGCACTCTTGGTGTCAATGTGGACCTGAGGGAATGAAGGGAGCAGTGATGGGGAGGGGGCGGGCAGACGAGGAAGAGAATGGGATGAGAAGAAGACCCTGCCTCCATCAACTGACCCCATCCCCAGGAAAGAGTACCTTCCACTGCCTCTGGCCCAGGCTTAAAAAAGGAGGCAAGAGATGTGCTAATTATATTAACCAGAGTTTTTCAACCTTGCTTGGCATTTTTGGCATCTTGCATTGAATAATTTTTGTTGTAGGGGCTGTTCTGTGTATTGTAGGGTGCTTGAAGCAGCACTGGTCTCTATCTTTCAGATGCCAATGGTATCTTCCTCATACCAGTTATGATAACTTAAAAATGTCTCAAGATATTGTAAATGTCCCTGGGGTTGGGGTGTGGCAGAAAACTCACTCCTGGTTGAGAACTGATTCAAACTAAGGGAAAGAAGCAGAGCCATAGGTAAGTCAAGAAGCAGGTGCCATGGGTCCACACCTGGGTTCAAATCCTGGACCTACTCTCTAGCTGTGTGACAATAGGCAAGCTGCTTGTCCTCTCTAACCTCAGTTTCTGTATCTGTAAATCCAGGGCTTTTGAGAGAATAAAATAGGATGGTGCTTGGTGACTGAAGTACTACCCAAAAGCAGGTTTCTATTTGAATAGGGATTTTATAGTACAATATTTAAGCAGCAGAATTGTGTATTTTCAGGATTACTAAGGCTACAATGAAAATATGGTTTTGTTTGCTAAGCCTGATCTGGTTAGTGATGGTAAGAAGTGACTCAGGAAATTGCTGGAAGACAGAGGGAGAGTTGTCCAGGAGAGGCATGTATAAGAACCGGTTCTCTTTCCTTTGGGGGATTTAGTCTCCTAGAGGGTAGACACTCGACCAGGTGAGGCCGACCAGGTGAGGCCCACCAGGTAAACCCACCATACTGCTGGGGCTTCAGAAGTAGGACCTGGCCATGGGGGCACCCACCAGGGAATCCAACCAACACTGGACCTACCACAGCACAGGATCTGAAGAAGTGGCTGTGGGGCCACCTGGGACCCCACTGCAGTCACCTCACCCCGGCAGGCTCCTCACCATGTCAAACCTCCTGGCTAGCTCCAGGTCATCCTCATTCCGGACCATCTCAAAGAAGTCTAAATGCCTAAATAGGATGGGAGTATAGACAGTGTAGACATTACCACCAGGACACCCTTAGTTGAGGGTTACAGCCCCTTTGAGTATCCCACCAGCTAAAACTGAAAGCTTCATTCAGGTGAGGCCAATGTCAAACCAGAAAGAAGACAGCTGTCTGTAGGCCAAAACTTCCCTCCTTTACAGAAGCCCATGCCCCTTTCTCAGGGAGAGCAACCCAGGGTTCCATCACCTTAAATCAGGCTTTCTCAACATTGGACATTATTGACATTCGAGGTTGGATTACCCTTGGTTACAAGAGGCTAACCTGTGAATTGTAGGAAGTTCAGAAGCACCTCTGATCTCTACCCACTAGATGCCAGTAGCATTCCCCCACCTTGAGCTGCGACAAGCAAAAATGTCTCCAGTCATTGCCAAATGTCCACAGTGAGATAAAATCTCTCCCACTCGAGGACTATTGCTCTACATATACCTTCCCTGGTGTTCTTACACTGTTCCCATGTTAGCCCTCAAAGTCAATATCTTCTGTTCTACCCCATTCATACCCCTACTCCAATTCAAAAGGATTCATTCTCTCTCCCTAAGGCCTAGAGTAATTAAATAGCCTGTACCAATGGGACAGAACCAGAGAGGACTTACTGGTAACACAAGGGAATGGAATTATGCCCTTTGATCAATAAGGACCTTTATGGCTTGGCTTTTGAGAAGGGTATTTCTTTGTTGAGCAGAAGTGCACTGCAGGACACTTAACATTCCTGGCCCCTAACAGCCAATACCATTAGTGCCCCCACCAACCAGTCTGAAAACCAAATAATACTCCCACATGTTTCCAAATGCCTTCTGAGGGCAGTAATGCCATGGTTGAAGACTACTGGGTTCACCTGTCTACAGCATCAGAGATGAGATGGCAGGTCAAGAAAGAAGACAAGCAGGAACATAGGTAAGATGTGGACAATGGGGGGAGATATGTACCACCACTACCCCCATTCACAGAGAGCAGATTCTGAATCAACATTAGATATTGCAGGTAGTCTCCAGTGGAAAGGGGAGCCTCCATAAAGGTCCTGATCATCTCCCACCGAGGTACTGTCCCCATAGTTCTGCCATGGGGATGGGTGACTTGGGCCTTACTTGTCCAGGATGGCATTCTCGTGCTGCCGGAGTTTGTCAATCACAGGCTGTATCCCCAGCATCAGGAACTCATATCGTAGATGTAGGCGGAATTCCAGATTATCCTGGGGATCAGTGAGGGAAGATCAGACTAATTGGCTGGCCTCAATTTCCACAAGAGTCCCCAGCAGACCCTCATGCCACTCCAGTTATCATCCCACCATATCTCCTACAGCAAACTTATCTGGAACTACTTCAACGCCCAGAGTTCCAAGAAAGGGTGGAAGGAAACATCTTTTGCTATTGCTAATTTACTCCCTTTAGATCTCTTGCCTCATCTCTTTTAGGTCTCTTACCAGTTTTCTCTTAGCTCTTGGCATCAAAGAACAGTATTGTAGAGTAATATAGAACACAAGCTTTGCAATCAAATCAATCTTGGTTCAAATCCCTGCTCTGCTACTTATACTAGTTTTGTGGCTTTAGGAAAATCTTAGTTTCCTCATCTGTAAAATGGACATGATATTACTCACCTATAGGAATAATATCAATAAAAATTACCTGAGGAGTCATGGTTACCAACTAATCAAAACAGATGTCAGCCATAAATAGCTAGTACTAACAAAGGTGATGTCAGCATTTCAGGAACAGATTATTCCCCCAATCCACCTCACCTAACTCAGGTCATCAGGATTGGTTGCGGGGAAAAAAAAAAAAAAAAAAAAGGCATGATGGCAGAAAAGATGGAAAAGTGAAGATTATTAAAGTGCCCCTTTTATTCTTCAATAAGCTGACTTCGACTGGGGCATCTAATTACCTTAGAATTTGAGTTCTTTAAGTTCTTCAATTGTTGCTACTTTTATGGTTTAAGAATCGCATTATGACCCCCCCTCAAAAAAAAGAAGGTGCTAGAAAGGTATGATTAGCCAATCCAGAAACCAGTCCAGAAACAGGACTTTAGAAAGCTCTAGAAAGAAAGGCCAATACTTGCCCTCTTCCTACAAACGATCTCTCACCACCCTAAGCCACCATTGGCCAGCCAAGATTGGTTTGTTCATGACACACATAATGCATGATGCTGCCTATGCAGGAAACTCCCCAGGAACCCCTCATGACAACAAGGTTAATGACAAGCCAGTTTTTTGTTGGTCACAAGTGAAAGAGGCAAGAGCTGATAAAGATAATCTGAAGACATTGATGGTAGTGGCAGCCATACCAATCAGATGCCTTGGCCCCTTTCCTCTGCTACTTACTCAGGAAGCACTCACACATTTTACTCCAAGTCTAGAAAGTCAGGGTACAGCAAGGACAAGGTGAAGGTGCCTCACCTCTCCAGCTCCAGCATTGAGGACAGCATTGATAAAGGACATGATGGCTGTTTTCAGATTTACTTCATCCCGGTACCGGCCCAAACTTCGGTCCAGCTCATTCAGCAGTGTCTGGATGGAAAAGCATAACAGGAAAGAAGAGGAGGGCTCAAGATTCTACAGGGCCAGCCTCTGCACCTTTGCTCCTGCCATTCCAAATATCCAGAATGCCCCATTCATTCTCTCTACCCAATCTATCCAACTTATCTGAGACCTTCTCTAAAGCTCACCTTTTCTAAGAAGCACCCTTTGCCTCTCCACACCTCAGTCTCCATCCTGCCTTACTTCCTCTTTACTCAGCCTTTGGGGCTTCGTTCAATTAGAGCAGCACTCTACAGTTCTTTACAGCTTGTACATATTTGCTGCCTAGCTCCTTGACAGCATGGCCACTGTCTTTTATCTCTTTTGTATCTTCTGCAAAGAGTCAGGGGCCACTTTTTGAAAAGAGTAGGTGCTTAAAAATGTTTGATGACAGAATAAACAAATAACCTATACTGGTGGATAAACCACAGTTTGTAATGACAATTCACATCTATCGTGACTTATGCTGCACCAAGACACTTTATACTTATTGTTTATCTCATTACTTTTCTGGGGCAGGTCTGGAAGAAGAAAAGAGAATAGCATGGCTGAGCTCCCAGGACTAGTTTCAGTGTTCCACAGTAGGCCCTGACCCAGGCATAGGATCTACAATCTTGACCCTGCAATTACATTCAACTCTTGACTGAGCCTCTATAATGAGCCAGATGCTGGGCTCAAGTAGCTAGAGCCACAAAAATGAAGCAAACTAATACTCCAGCCTCAAGGAACCCATGTTCTAGCAAGTAGTACATTTCCCTAGCTAAACTCATATTCGTAAGGCCTTTCATGTCTTTTTATATCAAGCCTCTGCCAGTCTCTCACCTGGAAGCGCGTCCTCTCAGCTGCATACACCTGGTAGTGTAGCATGGCCTGCAGCACCTTTTTGTGGCCACCAGGCACGAGGCAGACAGCACCAAGGATCTCTAGCACAGCCACCTTGGTCTTGCTGTTCTCAGTGCGCAGGCTCTGTGCGATGGTGCTGATGGCCTCGGGCTGTGCCAGCACATGAGCCCGCCCCTGGGAGTTGTTCATCAGAGCCTTGATGCAGCCTATGAGGGAAGTGTGGATGCGGCTCTCACAGGTGGCGTGGTCCATGCTCCGGAGGAAATTCAGCAGACAAGTCAAACCATCCAGCTCAATGAAGCGAGTCACAAACCTGCCCAGGCCAGAACCATTAGCAAACCAGATATTCTTCATTTGCATATTACTCTGCATACATTTTGCAAATAGTTACCCCATTACCTGTTTACCACTGGGTCCCACCTACAGTAACTTCTTGGTTCATTTATAAAGTTTATCCAAAGCACTAAAATCCTATCATCCTCACAGGGGACTTGCATCTTATTTACATTTTAAATGCTGTGCATTTGCATGTTATTAACTGTAAGCTGCATTGCTAGGATGCTATATATGTGAATGTGATGATCATGATAATTATTGCAATAATTATTACAGCTGTTAAACCTGAAGACTCATCTCCAGTGAGAATGGGAATTAAGAGAATTACAGTCTGACAACAAGGAAGACTTCCAAACTGGGGGGTGGAAATATGTGGAATAGATTCAAAGTCACTGAGTCAAGGGACCAAGATTGGGGAAGATATTCTTCAAGGAATCCTTAAGAAATCAGCTGAATCATCTAGAATGTTAGCAGGAAACATTAAAAACCATTTAGTTCAGTAGTGCTTAACATGGAGTCTATGTTCCCCTAAAGGCTCTATGGTTAGCATTCAGGAGTCCATGAACTTGGATAAGAAAAGAAAATTATATAGGCATACTTCATTTGATTGCACTTTGCTTTATTGTGTTTTAAGATATTGCATTTCTTACAAATTGAAGGTAAGACCCTCCACCAGCAAAACAATTATGACTTGCTGAAGGTTCAGCTGATCGTTAGCATTTTTTAGCAATATGGTATTTTTTAAATTAAGATACATACAACATTTTTTAGACATAATGCTATTGCACATTTAATAGACTATAATATAATGTTAACATAACTTTTATACGCACTGGGAAACCAAAAAAAATTCATGAGACTCACTATTGTGATATTTGCTTTGTTGTGATGGTCTGAGCCCACAAGATCTCTGAGGTATGTCTATACTTTAGTTTTGAGAATCTCTAACTAAAATTTAGCATTTCTTTTAATGATTAAGGTAGGCAATAAATGACAGTGGTATTAGCAGAACCTGTGACTTTGTCACCCAAAGAAATTACAACTATTTTCATATCAAATTACAGTTGTTCCAGGTAGATTAAATATCATTTACACTCATCAGCACTCCAAAATTATGGTGGTTGCTAGTTCTTGCTATTTAATGCATAAAGAATCACATTAATTGCTATCTCAAAAATTTTAATATTTGATAACTGTATTTCAATTTAATTGGTTTATTTTTTAATCCTATCTGTTTTATTTATTTTATTTTATATTTAAAAACAGCATTCGCAGAGCAGTCAATAGGTTTCATCTGGATGCCAAAGTCGGCCATGGTGCACGCACACACACACACACACACACACACACACACACACACACACACACACACACAAAGGCTTAGAACCCTTGATTTAGTAGAACAATAATTAATGATCTGAGGAATATCATAAATGAAGCTGAGGGAACCACTAAATATAATTATTATACTTGCTCCCAAGTGTACTTGTATTTCTATATTCTTATACAAATATGCATAGAAAAAAAAAGATATACTCTCAAATTAAGTTGTTAAAATAGGTGTTATTTACATTTTTCTATTAAATGCTTTTCTGTTTTCCACAAAGTTTCCACCATGACTATGTGCAACTTTTATAATTATAATTTTATCAAGGAAAAGAAAAAGGAAATTGAAGTGGGAGACAAATCTGGCAACCTTTCTTCAACCTGGCTTCCTCATCCTTCCTGCATCACCTTCCGATGCCAGACCCCCACCCCAACATGAGAGACAAGTGGGGATGAAGGTGCTCCATTCTTGTCGAGGCTCTGTCTTGTCGAGGGACAGACAGCTCAGCTCAGAAAACACACACACACACACACACACACACACACACACACACCCATATGGACTAACGTACTAACGTACTGGTAAATGTTAAACGATCGGCTCTCTGGAGAAAATCAAAAAGACCTGATTGTAGTGTTTGCCAATTTCCATGGTATAAATACTCCCAGCACAGCCAACTTCAATATGATGTCATTAAACGTGAAGTTGGGAAGAGATACACCATTTATAGTGTTTCTACCTATGCATATACAATGGGTGTAAACGCAAGAGCATACATAATAGTGAAAAACATACATAACGGTAAAATGGAGTCAAATCATTAGGTAATTAGGGAGTAATGTTTCAAATATTTATTACCTTTGTTTTTGATATAATTTATTTAGTCATAAATTTATATTGTTACATTTTAATCACAGCTATGTTTAACACCAGCTGCAAAACTGCTGAAAATTTAACACTTGGCTCTCAAGCTAATAAGTGCCAGTTTCAAGACACAAGAAGAACCTGCAGCTCTTGCTCCCTCTTTTGACACTTGCACCATGTGGACTCTACGGGAAGGGGAATGAGTGATGAGCACTGGGTTCTCCAGCCTTTGAGACCCCCATCCCCTTTTCCTTGTTTGCCTGCCTTGTTCCTGCTCGAAAGGGTGAAATCTCATCCAAGGACACCACATCTTCCCCTAGCGGTTGGAGCATTTCTCACCCACATTTACCAAGCCCCCTCATTCTCAGAGCTTTCTTGTATACCTTGCCCTTATGACCCCCTTCCCTCCCGTTCTATTCTCCTCCTCAAAAAAACAAGTACCTGTCCTTAATTTCTCTTTAGATAGCTCTTCAGAATCTGAGATGCATTCCATTTTCCTATGTTCATCCTCCCTTCTCCCCAACATATCCATCCCCTGGCAGCCTCTCAGCTCCTCAGAGAAAGGTGGTGTGGGAGCTGATGAAGTAAACTGTAGAGAAGGCTGAAAAGTAGAGTTGGCCAAGGGGACCAGAATGGGAACAGAGTACTGTGTGAAGTTTCAGGAAGTTGATGCGAACCACTGTGTGAAGGGACGTGGAAGGAAATGAGGGAAGTAGAAACAGAGGGAGTCACCTCATGGGCTGTGTCCGGAGAGCTGTCTTCAGGTCTTCCACAACTTGGTTCCTCATCTCAGTCTCCTCATCATCAAATGCGTACAGACTCTGCATCTGAGGAGGTAGAGTGGGGGTGGAGATCATACTGGGCTGCCTGTCTCCCAGCCTCCTGTACCCCCAGCCAAGATGTGAGGGGTCACTGTTGCTTCAGGAAGGGTGAGGCCTCAGGGAATGGTTTACTAAAACAGAGTGTCAGACGCTAAGACAACTCAGGCTCTGGCCTTGGATTTCACTTTCCTCATCTGTAAAATGGGGAGAATTATTAGCTTAGTCTATTTCCTAAACCTGCATGATGTATAAATGCTTAAATGGCTGGGAGACGCTAATGTCACATGAGGAAGGGAGGGATTAGGAAAACGTCTTGGGATCTGATCTCCAGTGAATGGGTGTGAGGTGCAGGGAAGGATGCTGAAGGCTCACTCTCCCTCCTAGCCTTTCCAGGTGGGAGCAGGGCAGGAGAGGGACAGCCACTCACCGCAGCCATGGAGTTGATGCGGCCAATATAATAATCAGGCCAGCTGGTCGCCAGCTTGTTGGGGTCTTCCTGCTCCTGGAAATAGAAGAACTGTATTGACCAACTGTCAAGACAGGCCCATGGCCTGAGATCCTCGGCTTCATTCCATGGACAGATTCATTTCTCAGCCCTGCCTAGATAGGGTGACTTCAAGGAAATAATAAAATCTCCCCAGGCTTTCATTTCTTCCTTGGTAAATATGAACAATGACCACAGAATGTCATGACCAGCCAATGACATGGGCAGAAACCACGTAGGTATATACACTTTCAATGAGCAATATGTACAATTAAAAATAATTTTCCCCTGTTATATTTGTTCTGTTTAACAAAAGGTAATTTTATGTCTGTTAAATTTAATAAAAATGTGTGCTATTTTACATATCTGATTTTTCAAGTTTTATTTTTTCTGATATCATTCTCATTGTATTTCACAAAAGTATTAGTCTGTGACAGTTTGGAAATTTAAAAACTTGGTTTTTCTCCCAGATAGTTTGAGAAGCATTTATATAAGGCATTTGGTGCAGTGCCTGGCACATAGTAGGTGCTCAATAAATAGTAACTTTACAAAAAGAGGGAAAGAAAAACTCTGAAGGCCCTGGGTTTTAGAAAGACTCAGGAGGGGTCTGTGCAGCTGGGAAGTAGAGCCCAGATCAGAGGGCCTTAGGCCCAGCTGCCAGGTCGCAAGAGAAAACCTCGACTCCTCTCCAAGTATGGTCAAGAATGATGGCAGTTGGATAAACATTAATCTTGGAAAATCCAGCTCTCTCCTCAAGTCAAAGGATCTGCTCCTTCCTGTCCCTGTCTCTGTCGCATCTGGCTACTCCCCGTCATCTACTCTGCCAATCTCCTGCTTTCAAATCAGCATGAAAAACTACCTCCTCCAGAACCTCCTTGATGAACCACCTGTCTGCCAGCTGTCCTGGACCTTGTCCAGTATCCCTCAGCTCCATCCACTCAGGCTTCATGATTTGGTTTCATAAAATCCAAATTTTAGGCCACTGGGAAAGCTGCCTGATTTGGTCTCGGTGATTTCATGTGACTACATGTGTTAAATCTCCATGACTGAAGCCCACAAATTCTATCTAATACTTTGGAGAAGAGATCACAGAACCAAAAACAAATGCATCATCAAACAAATACTTTCCCACTTTTGCTGGCTCATCCTTTATCCATTCCACATGCATTTAATGAGCACCTACTACGCACCAATCACTGTACTGAGTCCTGAAAGTACTGAGCAAAAAGTCATAATTTCTACCTTCCATGGTGTCACAGTCAGGGTGGCAAATGCTCTGTGGTAGAACTGTCCATAACAGGCCATAGAAACCTTGGGGGGGCAGCATTTAAAGAAGGCCCATAGGAGGGTGAGGTGGGGGGGTATGATGAGAGGACTGAGATAAATTATTAAAAATTACTGAAGCTAAGACAGGTGGGGAGGGTGTTACAGACAGAGGAATTACATTGTAGAAAGAGCAGGGGCTTTGAAAGTGTGTGGGGGAAATTACACACAATTTGATTTGGAAGGTAGGGAGAAATGTCCTTATATTTTAATACATGTTTTACTTTAGCTGTATAAAAGATCGACTTAAGGGAACTCCATACTTAATCAATTTGGAAAGTGAGGAATAATGAGACATGATTAATTTCTCCTGAAATTAATTTTCTCATTTCTTTCTCCCTTCCTCCCATGACTTGAGTTTTTATTAATACCTGTTTTTCTCAGAGTAGGATTCCTGGACACAGACCATAGTATTCTGCAGGTGCTTAATAAATGTGCATTGAGTATACTAGACAGTGGCTTGTAGTGTGTGCAGCTCATGCATCTCAAGCAGGCTTGGGTTCTAGCAATGGTGTAGCCACTTGCTATAAATGGCTGGTGACTTTGGGTGAGTCCAGTGCCTCTCTAGGCTTTCCTTGCCTCATACGTAGAATAAAGAACGAGAATGGATTGTTTCTCAGTTACCTACAACTCTAAAATGGTGTATGAGTCTAATCCTCCAATTTTATAAGATCAGTCTGGCTCAGTATAGAGCCTTGGATGATACAAATATCTGAGCAAGGAAAGTAAGAAGAGAGCCATGATTGAGCTCAGGGAGCACAAAGGAGAAACAGCTGAGAAGCATCTCACATCTGTCAACCTTTTCCCAGGAGGTGACAGCCTGAGCCTCATAGCAGAGATAGCCAGGTCTAACTCCTAAACACTTATACGCTGAAGTCAAAGGATCAAGCTGCAAGTCTAAAAAATGGGAGAGTGGAGAGAGAGGAGGACAATGAGTCAAAAAAAGAAAAATAAAGTGAAAGAAACAGGCTAACACAGGAAAGGGGCAACAGAGACACACTGAAAGATGAGCAAATTAGATAGAAGTGGAAAAAGATGGAGGAAGAAAGAAAAACCCCAGCTGCTGGGAAAGCAGAGAGGGGAGATAAAATCCAATTAAGCCCTGACTGGCACCACATAGCCCTTTCTAGGGAGGACCAAAATCAGGAAGCTGATGACATCTTTTAATGAACAAGAGAAGAGGGAGGAAAGGGTGGTGAAAAAGGGGACTGATGTGTGACCCTGATATACATGATACCCTATGAGGCTGAGCCTGGTACAGGACAGGTGCTAAAGATCCAGAAAAGGCCGCCCCTCACCCCAAACTGAGTCCTACAACAAAGCTTCCCACAGGTATGTCCCAGGGCAGCATGCCTTCCAGGCATGGGTACAGGCATGAGAAAGAGTCTAAATGTGTCATCTTTGTATCTCCCTAACCCAGCACCACTCCTGGAACCCAGCAGGCACCTATTTAAAGGGTTTTTTAAAAACAGAATCCTGTTTCTCTGAGTATAAGCTCCATGAGAGTAGGGATTGTTTCTTGTCCTGATTTATTCACCATCACTGTCCTCCAACACCTAGAACAGTGCTGATATATAATAAATATATGTTGAATGAATGAGTGAGCATGGAAGTAAGAGCTGTACTGTGCTGTGGACTGTGAGATGACAGTGGAAGGGGTCTGAGATGGCACCTTCTTTTTGCTGCAGTAGATCTGCCATTTCTTCTCAGGAGGCAGTGCAAACACAGCTTCTCGGTTTTTGTCAGTGAGATCCAATTCATCCTGCAAAGACAACAAGAAAAAATATCTGAAACCCAGAGATGATTCACATTAGAATATTCGGCCCTACAGGAAATCACAATTCCCCAAAACCTATCCCTCAGTCTACTATCTTCCTCCCAAAGAATATCAAAGTTATGATAGCACAATTCTTTCTCTGCTAGAACTACAGCTCCATCTCCTTGCTTCAACCCAAGCCTGTGCTGCTTCTAAGCTTCTCCTACTTCCTGTCCACCCTATCTTGTTTCTGCAAATCTACCTTTCTCTTCCAGTTCCTGACCATCTCCTACAATGCTTTGCTAGCCCTTTACCTTCTTGCCCAGAGTTTCTTGTTTTCCTTCCCTGTCCTTTTTGTTTTTCAATTAAAATTGGCATTCAATATTATTTGTATTAGTTTCAGGTATACAGCATAATGATTAGACATTTATATAATTTACAAAGTAACCTCCCCCCCAATTGGTCTAGTAATGATTTGGTGCTATACATAGTTATTACAATATTATTGACTATACTTTCTATGTTGTACTTCAGATCCCTGTGACTATCTTCCAACTACCAATTTGTACCCCTATGTTCACTGCAGCACTATGTACAATAGCTAAGATATAGAAGCAGCCTAAGTGCCCATCAATAGACAATTGGATAAAGAAGTTGTGGTATATATATACAATGGAATATTACTCAGCCATAAAAATAATGAAATCTCACCATTTGCAATGACATGGACGAACCTAGAAGATACTATGCTAAGTGAAATAAGTCAGACTGAGAAAGACAAATATCATATGATTGCACTTTTATGTGAAATCTTCCCTGTCCTTCTTAAACTTGTCAACACCATAAGTCAAGGCAGGACAATGAAAGGAGTCATTCTACGGATCCTGTCCTTGCTCCTATCCTGACATTCCAGTCTCTCCTCCTGAAATTCTCTGGCTCCCCTAACCTCAGTGTGGGTCCCAGATGAGGAGAGCTGGTGAAAATGAGGGTCTGAGCAGCTCTCCTGGTAAGAAGGGACACCATACCAAGGGAGATATTGATCTGCTTCCCACAGAGGTGTGCCTGCCAGAGGCAGCCTCTCCACCTGCATGACACCAGGGACAAGGCTATGCATGCACAAGGCTTGGGGCTCCACCAGACTAGCTCACACTTTCTGAGGAGTAGAACTGAGAAGTTTCTGACATCATCAAACTTAGAGTAATTCTATGCGTAGTTTGGGGTGACTTTATAGGTTTGGCTATGCTGGATGGCCTCTAAAAAGCTCTCTTCTTGAAGATTCTTCTATGATTCATGAGTGATGCTCATCAAAAAAACAAAAAAACAAAAAAAAAGCTAATGTGCATGGTGAACATAGTGTGCTGTGAGTTTTTTTGTTTTTTTTGTTTTTTTAAATCAAGAGCAAAATCCTCATTAAGACAACAAAGTGAAATATCACTAACCTTTTTATCTTCAGAAATGATAAACAGTGAAAGTAATATCCAAGAAAATATAAGGGTTTTAAATATCAAAATCTATACTCTTTTTCCTATACTTTAATTCAAGAGAGATCACTTAAGACTTTCCTTCACCTAGGTCAGAACAGTCCAATAGAAATACAATGTGAGCCACATGTACTTTAAAATTTTTCCAGTCACATTAAAAAACTAAGAAATAAGTAAAGTTAATTTTAATAACATTTTATTTGACCCAAAATATCTAAAATATGATCATTTCAACATGTAATCAATATAAAATATTATCAGTGAGATATTTTATGTGAAGTCCAGTGTGTATTTTACCCTTACAGCTCACCTCAGTTCAGACCAGCCACATTTCAAGTGGCTGTTGGCCTCATGTGACCAGTGGCTGCTATCTTGGACAGCCCATAGAAGGTTAATTTGAAACAATGCTCACAAGCTCACCTGCTTTTGGAAATAAAGACTCCAGCATAGCTAATGCTAAACAAAGGTTCTTCCCTAGAACTACTCTCTGCATATCCCAGGAATGTCCTTAGTCAAAAATTCCCAAAGCCTTGCCTGAGGTTCCTGTAGTATTTCTTTCTCCATGGTCAGAATCAGAAATAAAAGGTAATGTTTACTTACATTTCCCAACATAAACTCTGCATTTCCTCTGCTTTGTTTATATAGTTAGTTCCACTCAGATTGCCCTCCCTGCCCACTCACCCTGTGGACCTGGATAATTCTCAAGCTCAAAGTCAGCCTTCTCCAGTAAGCCTTCCACAGACTTTCTCAGGTAAAAACACCTCTTCCTTCCTGCACTCCAGAGCAGTCACATTCAATGTTTCATTGTGGTTATTTATGCACCTGTCTTTTCATGCCACTGGTCTCTGTCACTAAATCGATTGGCCATTTCTTGGTGATTTGGCTCAGTCCAGGTAGCCCATGACCCTGTGAACCATTCACTGCTTACTGAATCTCTATCCTGGTCCTTCAACAGCCACACTCTCAGGCAGTCTTTCCTGCTTTGCTCTAGGTTCCTCTTGGGATGACGTGTCCCTTGATGACTTGTCTTCTCTCTTACCATCAAATATTAAAGTCCCTCAGGGTCCATCCTGGGTCCTTTTATTTCCCTAGGTGAAGCCTTCTCAACCATTCCCAAGGACTTGGTTATCTCATACTCTCGCAGACCTATATCTCCACCCACCAGTTTCCTAAGCTCCAGATCCTGGGACCCAATTGACTCCGATACCTATCTGCTTTGATGTTCCTCAGGTACCTCAAACACTGATATAGTGTTGCTCTGTGCCAGACAATATTCTAAGGCCTCAATGTTTATTTATTAAACTTTAAATAATCCATCTTACAGATGAGGAAATTGATGCACAGAGAATATGCAAACTGAGTTAATCATCTCAGACCCTTACACCTGAGTCTCTGTTGGCATATCCCATCCTGTTCAGGGCCTAACATCTACCCAGTTACTCATGTCATAAACCTGGGTATTCCTTGATTCCTACTTATTCACCAATCCCAACAAGCCCTATTAATTTTCTCCTAAATAGCTCTTGAATTTGTCTATTTCTCTCCATCGTCACGGCTAACACTTGTCTAAACCACTATTCTCCCTAGCTTGGACTGCGCCAAGAGCTTCCTACCAAAACTCTTTTTCAACAGAGTACCCTGAATATTTTAGAAAAGCAGATAGGGTCACTTCAAACCCCTATCTTTAAACCCCTATGTTTAAAGCTTTCAGTGGCTTTCTGTCACCCTGAGGATTGAATCTAAAAACCTCAGTTATTTTCATTTTTATGGTAACTCCCAAAAAGACTCAGCTCTTTTCTGATTTAAGACCCTCATATATGCTGTTTCAGATCTCAGTGGAAATGTCATTTCTTCAGGGGGCCACCATGATCCCCATTCAGGAATAAAGCTCCCTGCTACAGTCCCACAGGCCCCCTGCATGTTCCTTTTCCAAACACTCACCACGCCTGTCATTACTGGTAAAGATCTGTGTTCCCTATTAGACTTCACCTGCCTGTTGGTTCATCATTAAATCCCTGGCCCCCATAGCACCCAGCACATAGCAGTTTCTCAAGAAATATTTTTCATTTATTTAATCAATACCTGACACTAGTCTCCTGCAGACAAGATTTCTCTGAATCACCCTCGCTTTTGCCAAAGTATCCTGCTCACTAAAGATGCTCAGTAAATACTTGCTGAATAAAAAAGCCAAAAGGAATACCTGTCATCACATCTTTTCAAAACCCATGCACTCTGTTCAAAAAAACATACTTGTCTGTGATAATATAGGAAATACTTTTGATGTTTGTTCACATTTCCTAGCATAGAGCCCCTAAATCCCTTGGAATTTCCTGGGTGATAGGAGCTTCTTTTCTTCTAGTAAAGTGACTCCTGGTGAAATCCTAGATAGCTTCAAGATGGGAGCTGGTTGTCAGAGAGATCAAGCCTTAATCAGAAGCTGAGAACTTTGAGCCTCACTTCCTAAATTCCAGAGAGAGAAGAGGGGTTGAAGACTGAGCTAAAACTTAATCATGCCTACATGAGGAAACCTCTATAAAAACTCTTCAATGATAAGGCTCAGAGAGCTTCTGGGTTGGTGGACACATTCACAAGCTGGGAGGGTGGTGCATGCCAAACCCCACTGCGACAGAAGTTCCTGTGCTTGGGAAAGCAGCCTTACTGTCCTTACCATTCTGGGCCTTATCCTATGTCCCCTTCATCTGGATGTGCATTTGTATTCTTTATAATATCCTTTATAACATACTGGTAATGTGGTAATAGTAAATAAAGTGTTTCCTGAGCACTGTAAGGCTTTCTAGCAAATTTCTGAAACTGAGGAGATCATGGGAACTCCTGAGATTTGCAGCCAAGTTGAAAAGAAGTGTGAGTAACCTGGGGACCCATTACTTGTGATTGGTGTATGAACTGGGAGGCAGTCTTGTGGGCCTGAGCACTTAACCTGTGGGGTCTTTGCTAACTCTGGGTAGTTAGTGTCAGAACTGAGTTAAATTATAAGACATCCAGTTAGCATCCACAGAGAATTGGAGACTTGTTTGGTGCGGAAACCCACACATTTGGTGTCAGCAGTATTCTGAGTTAAAAACAGATCTTAGTATTACTAACACCATTAGGACTCCAAATGTTTTTCTACACTAGTAAACACTTAGTTCTCTCCCACTCCCTCTGCCATCCTGAGGAAAGGTATACAGCAGAATGACAATGAGTTTTCCTGAGCCTAATGCAATGAGGAAGGTAGATAACATTTTCACATAACCTGCATGATCTCATCTTATAGCGGTCTTGTTATTTGAAAGGCTAGCTGGCCTTAATTAAATACATCTATTATCGAATTCAAGCATGATAACCCATGCTAAACCACACCACATGTTTCTCTACTGGCCAACCACAAGAATGAGTGGCCAAGAGCTCATGGTAGATGAGCCTGTGCTTATCACTCTGTGCCAGGGGTCAGGTCTGGGTCCTTGGCACTAGTCCTGCATCCCCGATCGGGGACTTTCCTTGGTGTACAGGCTTTGTCTCTCCATTAGACATCCAAAGAGAGGAATCATGCTTCTTTCCTGTTCTGTCTCTGTGTGGTCAGAGTATGAATTTTTACACACAGGGGTTCCCTCAAGGTTTAGTGTTGCTCTGGACTTGCAGGTATCACAAAGAGTGAGGAAGAGCTAAGACAGTATGAATGATGGAGCTTCTGTCTGCCCCAGGCTACACATGGGATAGAATCATCCCAGACCCAAGCCAAATTTCCAGTGTGATATAGGCATCTCTACCTCCGTTTCTCTAGCTAATCATCCCCTGTTCTGCAGAACTCAACCCTGTCTCTTCTTCCCGTGTCTGAGATCAAAGGATCCCAGGGAAACTCCAGAGAGCAGAAGAAAGAAGGGTGCTGCCTTATTTCACAAAAGCCTGGACCTGCCCCTTTCATAGTGGCCTAACTGCTGCCCCATGAGATCTAGACTCCAATGGAGATATGAAGTTAAGTCCATTCTTCTGAGGACACATTTCATGGTGTCCATCCCAGTGAGTGACTCTGTTTCTCCCACAGAGCTGAGGTATCCTGAGGGGGCGGGGGGGAACCTCAGCCCCAAGCAGAGATTCAAAAGATGGAGATCCCAGCATATGGTTCCCTGCCCTCTGTTTTGCTCTGTCTGCTCCAGCCATTCCCCACTCCCCACCCATTTTCAACACCCTCCCTTCCCTGACCCCTTACTCACCACCAGCTCTGCAAAGCGGACATTAAGCTCCTCTGGGTTTGGGATAGGACTAGAGAACTCCATATACTGCAGAGGGTGGTTGTCCCGAAGGTTGATCTCAGGAAGGTCACTGCCCCCAAAGCAGCATAAGAAGCCCAGGCCATGGCGGCTCCTCTTGCGGGGGGCCATGGTCACTGCAGGCCAAGAGGACAGTCAACAGGCAGGTGTCTTAGGTCCTCATCGTGATCTGGGTGGGAGAAGAGAGAGCACAAAGTGGTCAGGCATGGCAGCCAGGTAGAGGGAGACAGCGGGCAATTTGCCATCATAACTTCTTTGCCCAATGGCCAGGAGCCATCAACCCAATAGCTATGCCTCTTTCCTCCCGCCACAGCTTCTCTGTTTGCTCTAGCTCCTTAAAGCTGGAGGCATTTCCTCCTCACCACATCCTCCAGTGTTTCCTGCCACAAACACTTTCAAATTCTCCCTCTGTACCCCTAAGAGAAGAGGGCTGTAGTCATGGAATGTGACTTCCAGGAGGCAGAGCTGGCACTCATCTCACCTCTCCATTACTGTCAGATGAGACTCCTATTCTCTATCCTCTGGCAGACTCATTTCTAGCAGGGCTCAGTCACTCACTTGATTCATTCTGGTATCTGGAGAAACATGCTTTAAAGGTTTCATCCAATGGGGAGGGAAGAATTGAGTTATTTTAAAGTATTGATTCTTAGCTGTTTCTTCTAGATTTGAGTCATTAACAGAATGATCAGAATGTCTCCATAGTCTTTACTCACATCGTTGCTAAAAATGTTGACCACGGCAAGGATATAGACAGACCTAGATGGCAAAGCCACCTTGTCTGGGAATGCCAAAAAACTAATCATCAACACTGTCAGGGGACAGTCCTTCAAGCAGCTCTAAATCCATAAACCCATGCAGTTATCTAGCCCTCTTTTCTATAGGAAACTTTTCCTAAAGCCTCATGGAACTCGAGATGTGCCAAATCTAAGACATTCCTTTGAACTAAGCTCTAGAACCTCATCAAAGAAAGATAAGATAAATGTGGCAAAACTTTTTCCCAGTGAACTTAAAATAACTTCTGGAGACGTTTTCTAAGCCCTAATCATCTAGCTAATAACTCAGTCATCTGATCTGCCCTTTTCATATAAGTCATGATGTATTTTAATCATCATTCTAGATCTTTTTACCAGCTCCATTTTATCTTTCTTTATAAACTTCGATAAAGGCTTTTTAGTAGACCCAAGAGAGCCTCAAATAACACATTACACGAGGCTGCCTTGAATTATTGGTTATCTTTTATGTGTTTACATACTGGTTCTCCGCAGTTATAGTGAAAGTTCCTTGAAGACAGGGGCCATACCTTCTACTTGTTTGATACCTCCCTCCATTTCTATAGCTAATAAAATGCCTTGAACTTGGTGAGTATTCAATAAATATTTCTAACTCAATTATAAAACAATCAGTGGTTATGGAAAAGGAGGAGAAGGGACCTTATCAATTTGTTAAGAAATACTGATTGAAATCTCTGATTCCTAGTGATTGATAAGCTAACAGGAATCCTCATAGGGAACAAGAGGACAGTCTCAAAGGTGAGGGGAGAGGAAGCAGCAGGCAGGCTAACACAGAAATCCTAGTACATGGTGACAAAGACCTGAAATAGGCTGGCAGTTGAGGAAAACAAGAGAGGAAAAGAGGCTTTTGGTTTTCCATGGGACTTGTTAACCAAAGGCTGAGAGTGAGTGAGACAAAGCTCTGGTTTCCCAAGGTTGGGCCTACTAAAGCACCAACTCTGCAGCAGATAGGTGGACCGCCCTAAGAGTTCCCTGAAGTTGTCAAATTTGGGATGATAATGCACAGTGCAGACCAGGTCCTTTTTGTTTTACCAGCCTCCAAAATGCAGCTGCTGCTGGTGGGCAAGACTGCTTTGTTCAGGGCATGAAGTATGGGAAGAACACTCCTAGAGTCCCTGGTGAGATGAGGTTGATGGCATGATGGGGTTCTGAAGAGGGATGCACTGATATCTGGGAGAACCTGTGAACTCTCTTCTGCATTCACCTCCTCAACTTCTTCTCAACTCCCCCCTCCACCCCAGCATCTCCTTCCTTGTCCTTCTCTGCCCTTCAGCTCCTGAGCCAGGCTTTGCCAGGAGGAATCATGGGTAGGGGTAGGGCAGCATACAGCTGGCACACCCTGTTGGTCTTACACCAGCTGTTTATAGCTGTGATTTCTCTGATTGGTTGGTGCCATACCATATATGCCATTAAATATTTTTAATGTCTCCTCTAAGTATGAAGAGTGAGGGGTAGTGGCCACAAGAGGAGGTATGAAGTAGACACAGACCTTCCAAACAGGAAATGCCTTCCTTACAGAGAAGGGCCTGAGCACCCAGGGGAGTACTGCTTATATGCCCTTTTAAGGGGCAGCCTATTTGATAGTTCCTGGGTACGCTTATGTTCCTGAGGATGCCCTCCTCCCCATGAACTTCTTTAAGTCTGTTCCTATCTCCCTTTCTTAGGTCCCCATCAAAACATTGAAAACTAAAATCACAGGCTTTCAGCTAGAAATTATCTAACTTCATGGAAGAGATGATAAAATTTAGGTCCAAAGAGAAAATGTCTTATCTGAGGTCACACAGGTTAGGGACATACCTGGGACTGAAACCCAGGACTCCAGTGTTCAAGTTCTGGTCTGGTCGCTACCTCACCAGAACGCATCCCCCACATCAATGGCCTTTTTACCCAAGGCCCCAGCTCCCTGATAGCCTCCATCCACTAGAGAAGACCAGTCTCAATAGCTTAGTTTAGAAATAGCTCCAGTCTCAAAGGTCGCTCTAGACCAAGAGGGGGTTATGGAGATCCCAAAAGCCACCAGACTCTCCACCATCAGTAGGAACTGCTTCCACATTCCACTGGCCCAATTTCTTTCTCATCCCTGCTCTAATTCTTCCTTTACTTCAGCAGAGTCTCTGAAGTCGAACTGGGAGTTGACTCCTGGCGTTGCCTTCCCAGGTGGGTGAACCTGAGAATGTTTCATGAGTCTTAACCTCTCAGAACCTCAGGTTCCTTATCTGTGACACCAAGATAATAATAGCATCTTTCTTGTTAGGTTTTGATAAAAGTATATGAAGTAACGTAAGTAAGATGCTTGGAGTACACTGAGCACTCACAAAAGATGGGCAGCACTACTGCTGTGGCTTCATTATCATTGTTGGTAGCAAGGTGAGCCTTGCCCTGCCCAGAGCCTGCAACCAGGGACCCTTCTACAGGCATAGATGGGGCCACCAAGGCCGAGCATTGTAGGAACTTGCCCAACTAGAATTAAGAAGTTGCCTAGCTTTGCCTTCGGTAACTGGAAAAGCCTAGCTCCTCTGTCCAGTTGGAAAGCCTTTCCAGTTGGAAAGCCTGGACAGAGGAGCTAGGCTTTTCCTCAGGCTCTGAGCTACTTTTTTTTGTTGGAAAAGCAAATGCTTGCTACTAGCCCTGGGCAGGAAGTGGGAAAGGTGGAGATGGTCAGAGTGATTCATTTCTGCAAAATCCCTTTACAAAGATGAGCAATGGAGGTTCCCATTTTAGAAAAGAATTGAGAAGTAATATAGGAAAATGGGAAGCAACAACGGAACAAAATCCGCTGGACCTGAACTTTGGCCAGAGATATTTAACCCGCCCCTACCACCACCCATCTTTCTCTCCATGGAAATTTTCCTAAAATCAACAGCTCTATGCCCTGCATATCCTGTCTCCTCATCCCATCCCATTTTCCACCCTCTAGGGACAATACCTTCTAGAACTATTAATCCCTAAACACGCACCAACCAGTCTGAGACACCAAGACATCTGGTCACCACCAATTAGCCCTCCTATAACTCTCACAGGGGTCTCTTCCAGTCCTCTGGCTTCTGCCAGACCTCCCCCTCCTTCCTGTCACAGCCTTCCACATTGTGAAGAAAACATATTTCCTCAACTCAAGAGACCGGGGCTAGTCACCAGCCAGTTGTGGGTCAGGGAGACGTGGTGTTATTTTCTTGGGGCCTCAGTTTCCTCTCGGTGCAATGGCAGGATTGGACTGGAGAACTTCAAGGGCCCAGTAGGCCCTGACCTTTCACACTGTCTGGCTCAATCTCGTTCCCAAAGACTTCCCCAGGGTCTCATCTCAGCCTGCACTGAGCACTCCTCCCACATTCCTCCCCAAGCCAGGAAGTACTTCCTATTACTAGAGTTCAGTACTCCCATTTGGTCTGTAAAGATGAAAATACTAACTCTTATCCCCAAACCTGGGCCCCAGCCCTTCCTCACACCAGTTTTTACATTAATTAGGACTTCAAAAGCCCCTTATCATCAGTGCTTATTACTAAGTCATAACTAAAAGCAGAATAATATTAATACTTGAGACTTTGGTCTTTGCCAGACAATGGCCTATATCTACATTTCATCCGCATAAAAACTCTCTGAGATAGCTGGCATCATTTTAAATAAGTTATTTAAAGGAAAAAAAAATCCTTGTATTTCAGAAAAATTAAGTAACTTGCCTAAAGACACTCAGTAATGGCACAGCTAGCTTTAAACACATGACTGTTTGACTAAAGCCATAAACCACTAAGCCATGGGGCACATGTCTAAAGAATGCCCAAATCCGATACCTGCTCAGAGATTTCTCAAGTGTTCTATACATTTAGACTCAAAAATTCATAATTAAGCACTTCCTATGAGTTGGGCCAGGTGCTTTCACAGCTCTGCAATTTCATTTCAGCTTCACAGTGACCTTGTAAGGTGGTTATTATGATTATCCCTCCCTACAGAATATGATACTGAAGCTTCAGCAGCTGTTACCTGGCTTGTCAACAACTCTGTGGGCTGCTAAGAGACAGGAACTCACAACTAAATATCCTGACTCTAAGTTCAGTGCTCTTATCACAGGACTAAAGCTAACTCAAAAACCCTTTCTTTAGCTCTTGGGACAAATGCTATATCTTCAGAGTATTCAAATTTCCTTCCTCTATCCCCTTTCCCTAGCTCCATACATGCGAGTAACTGGGCAAAGATATGCTATTATGTCTTTCCTTGGCCTCTTCCAACTGCTCACTAAGAGCCAGATACTGTGCCGACAATTTTGTGCTATATCTCATTTATTCCCTGCAACCCTCTAATAGCATGATTACCCATTGTTACTCATGGTTACATTATAACTCCTAAATGCAACTTGCCTATCAAGCACCTTCTGTGGGGGAAGGGC